ATACGAAAAAATGTAAGGTCAATTAGCTTACAGTCAAAGCAGATAAGCATGTTTTCTTTAGTTTGTTAATGTTATGCGTTTGGACTGTGTACGCATATTCACGACCAGTGAGTAGACGTGTATAGCTGAAGTGCAATATTCTCTCTTGACACCATCACAGAAGAATGGAAGATAAAAATGGAATAGTTTCTAAATCTACTCGTTCATTAGGTCTCTTCTTGCAAGCCATATTGAAACGTCTATGTATAACACAGTCCGTCAATAATGCAACAATTTGTTCCTCTTTCCTTCCATTTTCACTTTTAACACATGTGAAGACAACACCACACAACAACGCACAGATTGCAGACGTAACAGAACAGCGGGCTAGCGAACATAAAAACAAGCTGCTGCAATAAAACTCCTGGAGATAAACACACGAGTATAGTTCTAAACCAGTGGACCACGCACCTTCTGAGGTAGAATAGAGTTTCACAAAAAATAAGTAACATTTGTTAATAGAAAATTTTATTGGATTTTATTTTATTACATTAAGTGGACTACACCGCGCGAGTTTAGCGCATATCGGTACAAGCTTCATCGCTTGCGTGGGTGGAAGCGTCACACATTCGGTGGGATTTACGTGGAACGTCTCCTTCATAAAATTCCTCCAGAGCAGTAAGGCCTAGCGCACACATGCAATTTTTAGTTGGCCGATAGTTGGCCGATAGTTGTGCACGATCGTTGATGCCCAACGACTGTCGAGGGACGTGCGCACACATACAATTTTTAGTTGGCCGATAGTTGGGATTCGAGTAGAATTTTGTGATTCTGTAGTAAAAGCCTGTTGCGTGCTGCATAATTACATCCGGCAGAAAGACGGTGTTCACTTTATGGATACAGTGTATGAGTGCCCACTTGAAAGTATTCCTCCTTACGGAGTTCGCGGAAATTTATTTGGACTATTTCGCTTCTTATTTTACTTCCCCTCAAGGAGCAAAGTGTAAGTTCATTTCAAAACTTGTTACATCTTAAACAATTTTCAGAACTGTATGATCACTTATTATGTAAGTCATTACACTCATTACACTTCAGTAACAATTGTCAAGGAAATAAAAATTGATCATGCTAAAAATATTGTGTGTAATATATTACAGAAAACTTTTGAAATAAACAGAAGTAATTGTACTATATGGCATGCACTGTCTTCGCTCGCTCGGAAGCCGGGATCGTGGGTTCGAATCCCACAAAGGGCATGGATGTTTGTGTGCGTTTTTCTGTGTTTGTCTACAGGTAGAGGCCTTGCGACGAGCTGATCAC